AAAAACTCCGTCCCATCGGATACCAATTTAACTCCGATGGAAGTTGAATCAACTCCAAAAGAAAAGGTTACCTCCTTTAAGGAGATACTAGCGGATAAGAACTTGACAAAGTCAAGCACATACAATTATCAGTACCACCAACTAGAGGCAGCTCTAAAATTCACCCCATACGACACAACTGGGCCCATCATTCTCAACCAAAAACAAAAAAAACAGACTCTACCATCCATGGCGTTTCTCATTAATCATCAAGATCTTTGGGAAAAAAATTCCCCATCACCTATTAAAAATAAATTAAAGCACATATGGAATCCTAGTGAAAAGCAAACACTAATAGATTTGGGCTGAGATTTCTTTGTGATGAAATTTAAAAAGGAAGAGAACATGATGATTGCATTGCACGGAGGCCCATGGTTCGTCATGGGACTCTTCCTCTCCGTCAGAAATTGAGAACCGAACTTTATTCCGGCGGAATAAAAAATACACGCCACCGCCATCTGGATCTGACTGCCCCAATTACCCACGGAGTTTTATGATAGAGAGATCCTGGAAAGGGTGAGAAAAAGGGTTGGTAGACTACTGAAAATCGATATGTGCTCCTATGCTACCTTAAGAGGCAGGTATGCACGAATCTGCATCCAGGTACCCATCGAGGTACCACTTCAAACGATGGTACTTATTGGGGAACATAAAAAAACCAATTGAGTATGAAGGGGATGGCATCCTGTGCGATGGGTATGGGCGACTGGGTCACCTACTCAAGAAATGCCCAAATCAACGGCAGATAGGAGCGAAGGACACAATAGAAACATCGTCGGCAGGACACAGAACCAACGAAGATGATGACTGAAAAGTGGTGGAATTCCCACGGAAAGAAAAACGGCAAGGGAGAACGGAAGGTTTCAAAGCCCAGGTACTACTGGAGGTAACAAAGAACAAATCAGGGAGCGGAAAGCAGCCACCAGATTCAGGTAAGTTTTCCGTCTTTAGTAGCATTGATGATTTTAAGGGCGGCGGCAGGGCTGCAGAACATGGCGGCACTAGGGCTACGGAAAATATAGGCCAAATGAAGCAGGCCCAAATCAATCTACACGGGCCTCGTATAGATAGCCCCCAACGAGGCAAACATCTTAGGCCACATGGGCCCATGATTCAATTGTCTGGACCTCTAGCGCACAACCCAAACTGACTACACAATTCATAGCATGTGCCGATTTTAGAGCACACTTTGGGCACGTGCCTCCCCACTTACACACCTAACGCCTCTCACGCGGCCTAAGGGGGGAAACACGCACCCATATCGGGTATGAAAAATACACAAAATGCAATCTCAAATCTGATACCCTCCTGATCTAACACAAATCAACTTTTGGGCCCCACCTATGGGGCTAAACCTGATCTCTCTAACAATATTACTAACACTGTGCAAGGGGAGAATAATTTAATTAAGCCTTCTCACTCTCCCTCTCACATTATAACCAACCTTGTGTCCCATCATCACTCTCCATCTACTGATTTGACTGACGTCGTTGCCTCTCAAAGATTTCTAATGATGAGAAATCTTCATGCACGGAAACCCAACGGAGAAGACACTTGCTTAAAGGGAAATGAAGGCATATCTGATGAGATAAACTCCATTATCATTCTAGACACTAACAATGGAGGGGGAACAAAACAATCCAACAAACAGCAGCAACATGCAGAACAAAGGGGAGGATCCAAATCAGATAAGGGTTTCATCTACCTCACTCCCCATTGATCACATTCCAACCTCATGGTTGGAGATGGAACTGCAGCCTGCAGGGATCGCCTTTCCCTTGAACTTCTTGATAGGGACAGTACCCATCTCAGTGGTAATTCAAAATCCCCACTACTTGGCCAAACTGGTCACAGCCAGCCTAAACTATGCCCTGCTAAACTACGGTCACCAATTGTGGTTGGCAACTCTCATGCAAGCTCAGTATGCAGTGAGCTAGAAAGCAATGACAACAGATCAGTTGAGCCTTCTCATGCAGCAGATAAGCCACACTCTCCCCTTCTTCCCACTAGTCTCTCCAAGGGAGGGGATCCCTAGCCCCCTTCTCCCCATGGATATCAGTGAGCACAAGGACCACATCTCCAAGGATAGGGTCAGAAAATGTCCACGAGCACCTAGAGGCCACCAACATAGAATTAGAGGAAATGATAGCAAGGCTGGGAGTGTCAAAGACCAAAGTTATGCTTCTACAGCAAGAGGAAACAATAGAGTTCAGAGGGCCTGGGGAGAAATACTTATCGTACTATGCCCAAGAAGCATGGTAATGTGTGGAGTAAGCCTAAGATCAGCCTTAGAGCCAAACTCAGGAGACTCAGTTGTGAACTTAAAACCAGTAATGGCCCAGTTAACTCCCCAGAATCCTTAGGGGATGGAGAACCTAGAGAGTTAAACAGTGAAGGGGAAATCCAAGTTCCTGAAAAGGAAGCCACAAACCAACCCAACGTTACTGATGAATTTCATCATCTAGAATGTTAGGGGGCTAAGAGTGAGGAATTTAGAAGACATTGTGTGGAGATGGTTAAGTTGCACAAGCCTGCCATGCTGGTTCTCTTGGAAACAAGGATGACTGAGCACAAGCACCTCATTCAAGAGCTGGGATTCACAGGGCAAATTCAGAACCCTGCTATAGGCCTATCAGGAGGCATTGTCATCATATGGAAAGATGACATGTTGAAGATTGATGAAGTCTCCACCACTCCCCAGGGCATCAATGTTATGGTCAAGGTAACTCCCTCCTCCACCCCTTAGCTTTTCACTGCTATTTATACTAGTAACACATATGCTAACAGAAGGGCCCTCTGGGATCAGCTTAAAACTATCTCTGATGGTTACAAGGGGAGCTGGATAGTTGGGGGGACTTCAATGAAGTCTTAAGGCCAGAGATAAGCAGGGGAAAACTACATCTCTGCCCCAAGAGCTCTCCTGTTCTGGAACTGCCTGAATCACTATAAGCACATTGACTTAGGTTTTAAGGGGAGTAAATACACTTGGACTAACATGAGGTATAGGAATAGGAATCAGTTAATCCTTGAGAGACTAGATAGGTGTTTTGCCAATGATGAATGGATCCATGATTACCCTTCTAGTAATGTGAGCTACCTCCCTAGAACACACTCTGATCACTGCCCTGTGCTGATCAGCTTGTGGCACAATGCTTCCAGAACCACTTCCAAAACTTTTAGGTTTGAGCCCATGTGGTGTAGTCATCCATCCTTCACCAACATTGTCCAACAGGCTTATAAAGGGTGTGGTAGCCTTGAAAGAGGCAATGCCCAGTTCCAGTCCCAGGTGATGACCTGGAACATGACTGTGTTTGGTAATATATTCCATAAGAAGGAGCACATTATTGCCAGACTTGGGGGTATCCAACAATCTAATGCCTACCCCTTCAGCACCTTTCTTCAGAATATATAGGCCAACTTCTGGAGGAATACTCCTCTATTCTCAAATGTGAAGATGTTTTTTGGAAAATTAAGTCTAGGATCAACTGGCTGATAGATGATGATACTAATACTAGATTTTTCCATACTTCTACCCTCAATAGGAGGAGAAGGAACAAAATCATGGCCCTGCAGGATGAAGTAGGGAACTGGATTGAGGAGCAACGAGAAATCCAAAACACCATTTATCACTACTACTCCAAGTTGTTCACCACTGAACACCTACGCTCCCTCACTCCATGGAAAAGCATAGTCTATGATACACACACTCTGTCCAATATGGAGCAAGTTACTCTGAGTGCTCCCCTAAGGAGTAGTGAAATAAAGGTGGCCATGTTCTCTTTCAAACCTACTAAGGCCCCTTGACCTGATGGCCTTTACCCCCTCTTTTACCAAAGACACTAGAATATCCTGGAGAGCAAAGTGACTCAGTTCTGTAACCAGACTTTTAACACCCTAGAAATGAAGCCTGAAGTTAATACAACCTACCTATGCCCGATTCCTAAGTGTGCCAATGCCACAATCCTTAAGAATTGTAGACCTATTGGGCTATGCAACACAATGTACAAGTTGATTACCAAAATAATTGTCAATAGAATCTAGCATGTCCTTCCTTCTGCCATTGGCCCAAGTCAGACCAGTTTCTTGTCCAACAGAAGGGCCAGTGATAATGCCATCATAGTTCAGGAATACATCAGTCACTTTACTATGATGAAAGGGGAAAATGCTAACATGATCCTCAAAATTAACCTAGAAAAGGCATTTGACATACTAGAATGGTCCTTCATCAGAGACACCTTAGTGTCCTTTGGCTTTCCCCACAATATGACCAAATTAATCATGTCCTGCATTTCTTCAAGCTCTATTTCTGTCATGGTAAATGGGGGTAGGACAGATTTCTTCCAGCCTAGTAGGGATTCAGACAGGGAGATCATATGTCCCCTTACATTTTCATAATGTGTATGAAAAGGCTATCAAGAAGCATTGAGACTCGGGTGCAATAAGAGGGTTGGTTCCCCATCAAAATCAGCCACTCTGGGCCAAAAATCTCACATTTATTCTTTGCAGATAATCTAACTCTGTTTGCTAGGGCAAACCCCAAGAATTGTGCCACACTCATGGGTACTCTACACCATTTTAGTAGCCTATCTGGTCAAAAGGTCAATACCATAAAGTCCAAAGTTGTCTTCTCCAATAACTGTCATAGGGATATTATAGATAGCTTAGCAAGGACTCTGAATATCAAGCCTAGCACTTCCTTTGGGAAATATTTTGGCTTTCCAATTTTTCACAAGAGGCCAACCAATAGAGATTTCCAGTTCATCATTGATCGCATGCAAACTAAGCTAGCTGGTTGGAAAACCAAATTCATGAACATGGCTGGGAGAACTACATTAGCAAAGTCATCACTGGATATATTCCTAGCCATGCCATGCAGTATATTATGTTA